TTTGCTGATTTCTTGGATTGTATAAAGAACTTATTGCATACAGATAGTTGGGTTTTTAGGTAAATTGAATTTTCTGGGACATCAGGTTCTTTTATGTGTTAGTAAAACTTGTGTATGTATTTATGTTAATTGTAATTTCTGTTATCAAAGAAATCTCAATAATTTGAAACTGTATTTGTCTACACAAATAACCCCTGTACAATTAATTATATTCACCTGATTACATCCATCCTTAAGAAGAAATTGGTTTAATACAAATAAATCCAACTAGTTGTTGAAATCATATTCACCCCTAGATATAAAAACCAATTTCATACAGGTAGGCGGATTTTTACCTGGCAAATACCCAATGTTGTTAAAACTGATTTAATATGCATAGAAAGTAATTGTTGAAAAGAAGTCACTTGGTTCGTTTAGTTATTGGATCTCTACTAATATGTAAATATCACTTAAGACTATAAGTAAATTTTTACACATCAAATTATAAGTTTCTTTCAAAACTTGTATTCATTGTGTGCCTTTATATTATATTTGTTTGTGGAGAAACTCTTGTTATCTGATGAATTTAAGGTTAAATCCAGCCCACCTTTTGACTCAAGTGCACAGGTTTTTGTCACCAGGCCTAAGTGTTTAAATGTTAGGGTTGTTTCCATTGTAACACACTTAATGAATCACGGTAAAGGCACTTAATTTGACTGCTTCATATTTGTGCTTCACCAAATTTCATGAAAATACACAGTAAAAGACTATATATGAAAAGTTAACAAAATCAATCTGTAGCCTGCTAGCCATATATATATTGCAATCCTATAGAATGTTGATTTTTAGCTTGCAATAGACCTTTATTACAGGAATTGTATCCTACTTTACTGAGTCTACCACAATTACAACTCCCTGATCAGGTGTGTACATCTTGAATTAAGGTAGCACTATTTCTTAATTATAACTTCTCACAAATACTTTCATCTAACACTTACAATTTGCTTTATATTGATATCAGATTTGAAATTCAATATTGCTATGATGGACAACCTTGAATTATTGCTCTTATAACACTAAATTTGTTTACAATAATTTCTTGAGGGTTAATGTACATGAGTAATCCAGAATTATGTAACTTATACAAAGTTAATTTACATGATGTAGATCGAATCATGTCAAATTCATTTTTATTTTTTTTATTTTGTTATTAAAATTCAATTTATCGCTTGAGTGGCTGTCTGGAGTTTTATTAGTTAATGAAATGGTTTCTGTGTCTATCAATTTTGAAAGTGAATGTAGGTGTTAGGTGTTATCTTTATATATTTCTTCATAAATTTCAGAATGATGATTATATATTGGCCCTTATGCCCTTTCATGTGCTAGGTTTTGAACAAATTGGTTTGTGTTGAAGGAAATAAAATTAAAAAAAAATTACAAATGGTTTTGCAAGGCAGGTGACATACAGGTATCCACTTCTGTTGGATTTTTGTTTACTGTACTTTGACAACTTAAGTCAAATTTATGTTGATTTCTATATTAAATTATTATAAATATGATTATCATCAATTCTAAACCAGTAATTTGTTTCTGAGTGCCTAAGTTGTCTCTTCCACGTTGTCTTTTGGTCTTTATTGGATTACTTATGTTACAATTTTAAAGGAATCTGTAAGTTGATGTCATTGCTTACAGCACTAAGATTATACCTTGTTTATGAATGAAGAAGTTCTCTTCATGAGGATCCATATTCACAATTATAAAGTAGAAGATAACATTGTATGTTTCTGGTAGGTAGATATGATATGTACAGTCAATATGAAAAAAAAGTATCTCTCTAATATATTATGAAGATAATTCACAGAAATCACTTCATTGAGCTGAAGAATATTTTGGATTCAGACTGAACAGATGTTGTCATCAACAGATTAAAAAACTAATTCTGAAAAATGATTTGTTTGTGATAAACAAACACAGCATGAAAATTGACATAAATACTGGGATTGTTGTAATCTGCTAGAGGGGGTGAATGTGTTTCATTGTAGTAACAGCTGGCTAAATCATTGCATTGTGCAACTAAAAAAAATATTCTTTTCTAATTTGCAACATCTGCAAAACAAATTTACCATAATTAGTCTCATTTTGTTGTGGATGAAGTAAACTTCCAATATTATGAGAAGGAAATGGTATTTTGAAAAAGTTGTGTAAGCTTTAAGATGTTAATGATACCAACAGCATTTTCTGTTTTGTATGGTATGCTGGATATGCTATATATATATTGTGCAGAAAAGGTTACACTTAAGTTTTTTTTAAGTTATAGTAACTTGATGATATTTTGTCTCAAGTTTTAGAAATAGATAAAATCAGAAAAGATGAGATGGATAAAAGGAAAAAATGGAAATTAAAATGTCTGAACATTTTCTGTTTTACAACAATGTAGAAGCTTTTAGAGCTGACACTGCCATTATTGCTGTTAATATACAGGCTTAAATGTACGCTGTTGATGTATTATGTACTTACTACTTACAAATATTGAAGGACTTATTAATGAGAGCTCCTCCCTCCAAATTACAACTTTCCTAGCCGTACATCACTCTTAGGCCTGAGGCAACCATATTTTGGGGGTAATGAGATGTTGGTGTAGGGAAAGGAGTTTGATTATTCCCCTCCAACTTTTTTTTCGTTGTTGGGAAATGGCACTTTTTGCCTAATAATTTGGAACAGATGTTGAGTAACTTTAGAATTGTTGAAATCAGATTTGCAAGGATGAAAATGGATCACAAATATGTACACACATACACACGAAAGAATAAGATAATAAAATGATGTATGCTATTTATTCTGTTTCATAACTCATTGAGAATGTCATGAAATCGTTTTGACCACTTCAGTTTAATGTCATTGTCATTTCAACCATCACAAATGTCAAACAAAGTGGTTGAGACTATGTTAAAGTGTGAGGTGATGTTGACCCACAAAATAACCAATATTAGATCAAATTCATTTCAGTTTTTCATTATCAAAAGCTGTTACTGTGTTAGTTTAGCAGGTCTGGTTGTAAATCACATATTAATTAGTGTTCTATATGGATAACTGTGTAAAATGATACGTAAGATGTGAATTGATATTATTATATGAGTCTGAACTATTACAATAATGCGATGCACTACTTTCTTTTTCTATTCAAATATTGATATTTCAAAATGATCTTTCATTTGTCAAATATAGAAAGGTCTACATTTAATAATATTGATACATTATATTTAACACAGCAGAAATTTGTTATGTTGTGTAATGGATATTATTGTGTTATGACTGTTAGTAAAGTATTGATTAATTTTCACTATTTCTGCAAGGTAAACTACCTCTTTTCATAAATCATGCTGCAAAAGGTTGAGGTCTGCATTTATAATTATTGATTACAGCCATTTTTCATTTGGTATTGCCATGACCTGAAAATCAATGGGAGTGTAGGGATAAGGGTTATTATTGAGGTAGGAAAATAGTCTGAAGGCTCCAGTTTATTGAATTGAAATGTTGGAATGTTTTTGCCACATCCAGTTTGTCATAATAATATTATCCATTTAACTTTTCAAAATTGAACAGATCTAGCAAGAATGGAAATAAAGTATAAAAATGAAACATGATCAAAATATTATTTTAATATGGTGAACTGTACAACTTGGTTGCATTTTGTATTAAAAAGCGAGTTTAAATCAGGAAGCTGTTTACTTAGAACTGTTTTATATCAACTGTAGGATTGGTACTATCTTTTATAGAACAGAAGCATACATTATGTAACTTTGAAAATTTAATGAAAACCAGACATTTTTGGTTTAGGGACAATATGTTCTTTACAGAAAAAGAAATGCTGCTTGTCTGCAAAAAGGCAATTATATCAGATGTAAAGCCTGTTGATTAAATAATGAAGAAATCAACATGATGAAATTTTTGTATTGGAGTGGGTCAAATTCACTCCTATTGAAAAATGAACACAAAAGAATATGATCACTAAATATTGTTTAAATGGTCAGTAAAATGTAAAATATGTTTGATTACCAAATGATTGAATGTCCAATTTAATGGTGATCAATAACGAAGTGTTGGAGATCTTATGTTTACTCTTTATGTTGACAAACTCTTGTTATGTATTGTATACAGTATATAATTCTTACTCCAGAGCATGATCTTTATGTCATTGTTCCTTTCCTTTGTTGATTTTGTAAAAGGAGTAGATCAATGTTACTTGTACATAGTGTAAATAGTCTCTGTATTCAACTGATGGAGCATAGCTGCTTCATGCTCCTGCTCCATTGGTAGAGCCATGGGTTATCACGCCAGTGATCCAGGTTCAATTCTTTTTGGGGTACTCAGCTGGAATATGTTTTTCCCTATACTTTCACACGATTGAAGCCTTGTGGAACAGATATTAGAAAATGAATTAACTGTCCAAGGCTATGTAATTATGACAACTACTCCAGGCAATCTGTTTATATTTTCATGCAGATCTGCATGATATTGGATGTTAGGATTCAGTAAAAAATTAACCGTGCTCGATGCAAGATTGAGGTGGAAGTGATGAATAATTGGATATAATTTTCATTTTCATTGGGGTTTGATGCAATGGATTATTGATGAAAGTGCAATAGAATATAATTTACAGTGTAAATATTAGAACAGGTATGAAGTAGAGAAACTGTTAATGAAAATGGTCAGAATGTGATTTATCATGAAATAATTAGGTGTTATATATTTGATATGTTTGGAATGTGTTTGATCATTTTAAAAGCTATAACTGCAGAGTTTTATGATATAAACCTTATATTCTTACATTCTGTTGTTGATGAAATTGCTAGATTTTAATACTGCTAGTCCAGAAGCTTTGATCTGCTAAAATGCCATAATTTAATAATAAAATGATTCAGCCTTGCTGTATGTGTTGCGTGCATCCCAGGAAACATTACTTTTTCACCATTATTGAAGTTAAACAATTTATGTTTTATCAGTGATTTTTTCATTGACAGGAGCTTCAAGATGGCGGCAGTGAGCATCAAGACTGAGCCAATGGGCACGTCGCCCCTTGAAATAAACACTGGCGTCAATGCCATGGATGATGACAAAGAAAAGTCCTTTGCTTTCCAGCAGAGCTTGCTCCTGAAGAAGGCACGTGCCAAAGAAACTCATGATGTTGGTGCAAGCATACAAAATGTGAGTGGTCTCCCTTAATTTTGTGTTGTTGTTTCTTGTATAAATGCTAAAATAGATAAATTTCATTTCCATTACATCATGCAGTTTATATTGGCTACTTCATAGTTCTTCTCTGTGGGAGCCATGGATAGATGATGTTTTAATAATCAGAAAATTTTCCTAAAAAAATTTGTACCTGAAAAAGATGCTTTCTGGTATGCAAATATTTAGACCTGAAAACAGAAGAATGCTTTCCGAAACTCCTGAATTTAATCTTGTTACTTGGAAAAATTTGATTCTGTTTGCTATTTTAAACTTGACAAAGTTTCTGAAACTTCTGTTACTCATAAGTTTTTGGGTGTTGCTTTCTGTTTCAATTGGTAGGTGTCAAAATAGTCAGTCATTACATTGGCACCTTTTTCTTTGGGAATGTTTTTAGTCGGAAAGCTGCATATAGGATATATAGAGTAGAAAGATGTAAAACAAAAAAAAAACGAGAATAGACGAGAAAGCACAGGTTTGGGGAGGAATATTGTATTTTGATGAATACAGTGGAGAATGCATCTGTGTTATTATCTGCCTGGCTAAGAGGAATAAATGGAAGACAGCCCCCTCCTCAGGAACTCTGAGTAGAGGTAGCATGGTGTGTATAAGCCAGGGTACTGGCTGGTAGGGAAAGCTGGACTTGTCCAGGTGTAGAAAGCTAACTTCCATGACTAACTTTCTTGTTGGTAGGACAGTTTGTTAATGTCATTACCAGTACAAACTCCAGGAACATACCAAAATATTAGCCACATTCAAGAAACATGATATGAAGAGATTACTAAATATTTGTTGTAATATTCCTAAGAACTGACAAAGAAATTAATGCAAGGTAAAAGATCATAATCAGCTGTATATTTCTTACTTAGAAATGAAAGTGGTAAAAGGATTGAGAGGTTCAGGGACTAGAAATTTTTTATTTCTGATTTGCACAACTCAGGCTCATGTTGAAGAAGTCAATATACTTAAAATTTTGTAAGTTGTCATTTTTTTACCTCAGGTATTCTGTAAACAATTGTGGAATGTATTTTTCCAGTAGGTGAAGATAATTGAAATGCTGGTTTTGTTTTAGGATTTGGCAAATGAGTTTTGAAATGGCTTGTTATATATTGAATATAATAAAAATATGATTGAGATGAATATCTGGGTGTAACAATAAAGGAAAATGATAATTTTTCATATCTAGATGTTTGTAGATCTGTGTTGCAGCATTCCAGAAGTTGTGCCAATATTTCTATCATGCCCCAGAAAAAAAGACTGTGCTTCTGAGGCTGGAAAGCAGGTGCCCCTTCCTCTTAAATAACACTTAAACCAGAAAATTAACATATGGAATAGCCAACTTTGTAAATGTGTTTTCCTTCACTGACACATGATTATTAACTCTGCAGATTTTCAGTAGGTTGTGTTGGGAAGGTTAGTTTATATAGTGTTAGATATACAGTTGTTAGAGATACTCATGTCTGTCTTCACACCTAGCTCTTTTTGACAGTTCAAAACATATTCTCTTTGTTTCATTTGATACTGGTTGTGATGAAGAATTGTTTTAGGCAAAGATCTATATATGCCTAGAACAATGGTCAGATCATACTATTGTTCTTTTGGTGGTATACATAACAGCATCAGTTGACTGCTTGTTGTGATAGCTACAATTTGAAAAAGGGGATACATGAAGCTTGTGTGATTCAAATTGCTGTTAAAAAAAATTGATAGTTTTATTCTTTGTTTTAGAACATTGAAGAATATATCATTGTCAGTTGTGAGGTGAAAATATGGGTGTCAAACCTTGCGGCAGTTTATATTTAAATTAAAAAATATGGATGAATTTTGCATCTGTAGAAAGTTTTCAGTATAATTCCATGAGTGCTGGGGAATAATAAAAATCACCCTTCAGTCTTCATATGACCTATAAACTGGTTGTGCTTTTATAGAATTTGTTTTTCAGGTTTGAGGTCAAGGTCACTTTCTTAATTGTTACAGACAGAAAATGGGTTTCCATGTCATCTCTAAAATTTAACTTGATGTATTTTTTAGACTTTTAAAATGCTGGTTGTAGTTTACTTTTTATACCTGAGAATTAATGATCATGGTTTACAACTCTAAATTGAAAATGGAGTTTTCTGAGTCATTTTAACTTAATTTTCAAAAATCTTCATTAATCTGAAAGTTGACTAATGAAATTCAGTCTTAATTTTTTTTGTTTATTATGAAAATGTTTCAGTAATTTATTCTGTATTTTCTGTTATGAGAGAAAGAAAACAATGTCGATTTGTTAATCTAGATTTGCATTAATGCTTTTATCAGGTGGTTGTTGACTGCCATTGTAATGATTATATTCGCTCCATATTCAGCTGATCACTGTCACTATCTTGTCTGTACTGTATAGCCACCCGGTAAAGGGCACAGGAGACCCAGATTACCCGCTATCACCCTGTTTACCTCCCCATTAATCTGTGTTTATTCCCATCTGATTGGCACGTTTTGATGGACAATATTGTCCCCAGAGCTGTTTCCCATATTTGTCCTAATCCGATCAGAAGATAAAATCACATAAACCAACCGATGGAAAAATATCTAAATTGTCTCAAATATGCTAGAACCAACACAGAATTATAACTAAATTGAATCAAGAGTCATTAAGTAAAACAAGCATGACCCATTATATAGTGTGCTGTGTTGAAGGTAGCCGCTCTGCCGGGTTGTGTTCGCAGTATTATGAGATATGGTGATATTAGTCATGTGTAGATCTACTGTTTAAAGGCCTGGTGAGACCTAGTATTGCATTTTGTTGCAATTTGCCTCCCGATAAGCGAAAAGGGTTGGGGGGAGGGGAGAGAATTATGGGATGACCAAATTACGAAATTGGATTATTTGCTGCTGGCAGATGTGTGGTTTTCTGTCATGCAGAACTCCAAAGAGTGATTAAAGCATCTGTACCTATCATGCCAGTAGGGAAGTGATCGTGCCCCAGGGCCAGTATACTACTTATTAAGTACTATGAAAAATTCCACAAATATTAGATATTAAAAGGATCAGTAAATCTGTTTAATTAGATAGAACATCTTATTCTATATCCCAACAGTTTTATTCGGATATGTTGGTTGTCACAATGCCTTCCATAATATGTGAATATTGATATTATATTTACTTAGAATTTATAATATTCAAATTGATGATAGTATATTTAAATTTACGATATTTCAATTAATTATCTATGAAAAAAATAGGGAAAAAATGTGTACAAAAAATAAGTTATATTTAGGTGAAAGTATTTCAGTAGGCTTGTATTCAATTAGTTAACTATAAATGGATATTTCACTTTCTGTTTTACATAGATTTTAAGGAAAAGTCGTAGGTGTATACAAAATGTTTTGTTAGCCCAGTAATCAGCAAATGGGCATAAAAACACAACAGAGCACAGTTGATTAAATATAATACATGATACACTCTGTTATTTCTACTGTAAAGGACACACCAATAAAACCTTCTCATAAATCATAATTCAAGTGAATTTTTGGTCCAGGTAAAGCCAACAAGAGATCTCTACTAACTGGCTATGTGTATGTATAGAGGACGGATCGCGTTTAGATATTATTGCCTCGATGGCGTTCAGGCGTCCGATAAATTTTTGTGATGATTTTGATAACGTCAAAACTCTTGAAAAGATTTGGATGATTCATGTCCTATTCCATTCAACACAAAAATGAGTGTTTTCTTATGGAATAAAAGGACAGGCCTATGACAAGTGCGTTTTTCAGGGACAGAAGGAAAGGTTTATGATAATGGGCTCACCTTTTATTATTTTCTGACCAAAAATCCCATAGACTCCCAAGGTAGTAGTAATCTTACATGAGGTTTGTACAATAAGATATCTTTTGGTGGAATGATTTTTCAAGGTTATTAAGGTTGTGTTTTCATTCTAGATATAAAATAGATCTCACCTGAATCTGTAGCATTGTGTTGTATTGATATCAGGATAAAGTCAAATGGTTAAACATCTTGGAGGAGATTAGCCGGATATGAGTTCAATGTGTTTGTTGTTATCCTAATTGATTCAATGGGCCAGTGTCTAGCCATGTTAAGGTCTTTTTTGTGATGTTGGGTCCCCTCTGCTTTAAAATGAAACAGAAAAAAAATAAAGGGCTTCATATAAAATACAGAGTATTTCTACAGTAAAGCAAATCATTTAATAAAGAGATTGTCTTTATGCTTTTCTCAGTCAGAAATGCTACTGATTATCCTGTATGTTTTGTAACAATATTATGAGAATACAAGAATACTGCAAGGATTTGTGTTACTTGATACTCCACAATCTGCAACAATTGCTTTTATATAATTCAAAAATCCATTTCTTTCTCACTAATGGCAGAAAAAAGAACCGGAAGGAAAAAGCATGTAAATCTCTCCTGAAGCTAGGACTATATCAACCAACTTTCAATCATTGGTCTGTATCGTATGTCATCTAACATTTTAAAATCTACGGGAGCAAAGTGGATTTTAGCATCACAGGCTTGGAAATCAATGGAATTGACCTGTTATGAAAGGCTACAGAAACTATTATTCAAGAGAGCACTACCTGTATGTGATGAATATTTCAACGTAAATGAATCTATATTTCATGACTCTAAACAAGAGTGTTTCATTGTGGACCGGCATTTATCCTGTGCGAGGGCCGGATAACTTTTGTCATTAATCATGCTGGGGAGTAAGTCAACTGTTCAATAATCAGGGATTTCAGATCCTCTATAGTATGTCGATCAGTGTGCTAGACAGAAATTATGGTTTGTAGTCACGATTAGAGTGCTGTCCCTTGGGATCAAATGGATTATAGTGCCCTCCTCATCAGTTCTATGAAGGGGCACATCGCTACTATTTATTAGAGTAATATTGCTGCATATAGAATGTATGTTTTTTGGGGGTGTGGAAAAGACACACATTTCACCTTTAAAGTTTTGCATTAAGATTTGTTGCTCAAAAAGTGT